CGTACGTCCCCCCCCGCCCCCCGCCGCCCCCAGCTCACCCCCGATTTTACAGCTCAAAGCCTGGCCAGCGGAAGACCTTTGCCGTCAAGCACGCGGACGGAGAGCCGCTCACTCGTGTTGATCTTCAGCACGACCTCCTTCATCATATATTTTCCAACGCCCAGACCGCCTTTACCGACTCCTACCGCACTCTCCATGGCGACCCGCCCGGCTCAAAGGTTACCTTCCGCGACCTCTACGTCAACTGCCTCCTCCACTCGCCTCGATGCTCAAAGGCCTCCCGCGAGAAAATAATGGACTCCCCCGACTTTGGCCTCGAGTTTGCAAAGATGGCTCTCCTCTCCAATGTCGGCCGCATCAACACCACCATGGCTTGTAAGTGTCCGCCTCCACCCTCCACTGTGCACAACACACGCGCACTATTCCCCCTAAATTCGGGCCATCCCCTTGTGCCACTCGCCTCGCCGTCCAATCGATGTGTACCTCATCCTGGCGCTCTTGGCCCATGCGTGGCCCTTTATGCTGATTCTAGCTCTATTTTTGTCCTAGTCTTCCCAGAGATGCGCACCGCGCTCAGAACATACCATCCCGTTCCTTCCCTCCAGAAAACGAGCGGAAATTTACAGGATGCTCCTCGCATAAAGAACATCCTCAAGTCCTGTCATCTCGACTCCGAGACTCCCAGCGTCACCCTCAGCCCAGCAGATGTGCATTCTCGCTCCGTCAGTCTTTCCCCGTCACCGACCTTGTCCCAACGCTCAGTCGGTTTCCTCTTTAGCGGTCAGGGAAAGTACCCCCAACCAGCATCGTCAATCTCGTATTCACATTCGCCACAAATGCCGGGGTATGTCCGACTCCTCCCTCCACCGATCCTGACCAGACTCACGCGTATCTAGTCCATTGCCAGGACTCATTTCGGCCGGAGCCCTTCATACGATTTTCTCGACTTCTTCACTCCCATTCATATATCCTCGGAATCCCGCGCCCGCGCCTTTCTCTGGCTTTGCTACCACTATCACGAAGCTCCCTCATATAACCCATTCTCCGACGATCACGCGAATACGCACCCAGGGCAGATCCCTTCCTTAGCAGTTCTTTCTCCTGAAGAAGCTGCGCTCGAGAACGTTGATCCCCCTGACGAGATAGAATGGGGGTGGAAGATGACTCGACAGCGCAGAGAATTTATGGAGAACAAAGCCAAGGAGGGCGATCAAGAACAGCCGGACGACGGGGATGAGAGACCCAAGTCAAAGGCTAGTATGACGAGAGGAAGAGGGAGATCAAAGGCTGCACTTGGAATGCCTTCCGTCGACCTCGCTGACAGAGAGTGGGACGGGGAGCACTCGCCCATCGACGACCCCATGTCCCCACTGTCAATTCCCCAGGGGTTCCAGGACCGTGCGTGTGTCAAATCCCTGAATAGTCACTGACGTCCTGACTATTCTCCAGCATCCTATTCGAGGGGCCGTTCATCAGAGAGGCTGCCTTTATTTCAGCACGAATTCACACCTTATCACGAGACCTCTTCCTCCTCATTCCCCTCACACCAGCACCTTCCCCGCCTGCCCTCCATGTCGGACATCCTGGCAGAACCTCATCTGCCATCTGAACCCTATCCACGCAGGCGCTCGAGCCCAAGCCCCGTGCCATCTACGAACGGTAGGGCTCTGCGCACACATGGACGGCGGCACACCGAACCCCACGCTTTGCACCCGTCAGCTCACCATCAGCAACATGTACCGCAACATGCACCCCTATACCCTCATCAGTCATACCCTGCCTTCATGCACGATGTCCCAAGATTACCCCCAGCAGCTCAGCCCCCTCCTCAACGCTCCATGCTTGACCGTAAGTTTTTGCCATCTGCCAACACACGAAAGATTTTACTCACTTTGTGATTGACAGAGGCATGGCATGTCGTGATGACCACTGATCCTCTCGAAGATTCGGACGACGAATACCCGGACGAGAGCGCTCGTTTGGATTACGGTGCGCGCCGTTGTTCTCGCTCTAGTACATACAGACTAGTGACGTCCACAATCTTCAGTCCTGCGTCTCCGGATCATTAGTAGGCTGCGCGGCAAAGATCCAACGCCAGAGCCAGAGGTGGCACCGCAGCATCAGGCAACGCCCATTCCACACCTGAACATCGACGCTCATCCCAACGCTATCTAAGGAGCGTGGCACGAATGTACACACTGGATCTCTTTCACATTCCTATCCATTTTTTGTATTCATGGCATCAGCTTCTTTGACACTAGGGTTTCTCATGTATCACTCACTATCAGACAATTCCCGCAGACTTCTGCTCCAGTTGATCAGCTCTGGACAAGGAACTTCTTATACCATTTCAATTACACATCTATGCACTTGACGTCCGCTAGCGGATATGTACCATTAAGCAAGTATGTACGGGTAATGTTACAGCCAGAATTATATACCGCAAGCCCCACTGTCGCAAAGAACGGCGCACCCGGTATGTACACAGACAACGGCAATATATGGCAAATGAATTCCAAATATGAAAATAAACAGCAGGACGAAGAGTGCAGGGACAACCAGATGAGAGGGGAACGATGGAGGTGAACTCTAATCCTAAAGCATAAAATTACAATGCGTTTGGACCTCCATGACATGTCACAAATGACGGGACGACACACCGTATGGGCTACAGCGGTATTCAAACAGTTGCTACGGTACAGACCTATTCCGCAAGCCACTTTTCGCATTTCTTCACGTACTTGTCAAGGAGCAAGGCCGTGTCGCGAATAACAAAGGTGAGTACGACTTTAGCGAAGAACTCGGACGCGTGCCGAAGCTTGGCATCCAGTGCCTGCCGCACCTCGGGCGGGAAAGCGGCGTATAGCGGGGCCGGCGGAGTCGAGGTTGCGGCCCTCGTATGTTCGTCCAGTATCTGAGCTTGTTGGAAAAGCTTCGACAGACTCTGGACATAGACCGCTGGCGAGTCGAGGCTGCCGCAGACAATAAGCGAGGAACCAACACATCGAATTTAAAATACGTACTTCTTCCCGTTGGTCAGCTTGTCAAACTGGCGTGTGAGCTTCCCGCCCCAGGACGTAACCTGTGAGCTAGCGGTTAATTTATACTTCCCCCCGAATGAACTGTCCGATACTCACACCGCTGGTCTTTTTCATTACAAAACCTTCGCCGACGGACAGTTTCTTTCCGAAGCTGCCCACAACGCCGTCACAAACGTTTGCAAAGTCTTCCAGCTTCATCGACCATGCTTCGCCCTCTCGCCGCCCAACGCTGCCAATGCCGAACGCCATCCCGCTGCTGACATTGCCTGCCCCAAACAATTCCACGCTGCATGTATGCAGCTCCTCAAGCGCGGAACAGAGTACGTCGACGACGCGGATTTTTTCTGGGATATTTGTAAGTTTGGCACCACCTTGCGACCACACTTCCTGCGGTACATGCAATCTTCGCGTGATATAGCCACCTGTTTTGGAAATCATCGTCTGTCGAAGAAGATACATCATGTGGTACGGTTTTCGTAGAGGGTCGGGGGGTGCCAAGGAAGGTAATGGCGATAATGGCGCGGTGGGTATGTTGCCATGGGGTATTGGGGGTGGGGGAACAAGGGGGGGTATCGAGGATGTAGGCGATAACAGCGCTGTGTTAATGGAAATCTGTGGGGGCGTATTTGGGTTGAATCGAGAAGGGACAGATACTTTTCGTGGTACGGGTGCACTGCTGGGCACCCCACCTGCTCCCTGAGGGAAGTAAGAAGCTGCACCGCCTACAGACGGTCGACGGCTTGGCTGGGG